TGTTGTTGTTGTTGTTGTTGTTAGCCAAATAAACATCCAGACATCTACAAAAAACAATTACATTTACATAAACAATTTGTCAGGGTTGTCTTTTAATCACACACATTTAACTTTGTAATATACTCCTAACATGTCACACTGACGTTTTCATCTTTACAGAAAGATGACATTCAGACAGAAGGTGAAAAAACATTACAGTATAGTTCCAAAAACCCATCATCTTTCCTGGGTTTTTTATTTTTTATTTTTTTATTTTTAGGTTTTTTTGTAAGTGACCACAGCTGCTGAGTTATTAATACAACTTCTATATTTCTAAACATAAAGTAATCAGCAACAGCATATATTCTGTAGAACTAACACACATTTTAATGCTGAGCTGTTGTTAAAAGTCAAATGTGAATAACACTAAAAACAAACATGAGTGCATCCTAATATCAGCCAAGGCTAACAGCAGGCCTGATTAGCTAAGTGCTAATGTTGATCAGGCATCATTGTATTTTATTTACTTTTATTTTCGACAGAGGCAGTGCACAGTTATAGTAATTTCACCACATCTAACTGCTTTTAATTCTGATCCATGACAGAATAAGTCAAGATAACTATATGTAGGTAAATATGAACAGTAGCTTACTGAGGTTAAACAAGTTAGCTGCTAACGTTAGCATTTAACGTAATATAATATCATAAAAAACATCGCTGATGGTTCTGTAACCATCACTAACTTTGTTGTGTAGTACTACAGCAGCTCTATAAACTTTTTATTTTTTAATAACGTTATTAAAAATAAAAAAGAATGAAGCAGAGATACTAACTTGTCAAGCAGAAATGGCTAACTCTGCATCCATCTTCTTCCTCCTGTGAAATCCACCTCGTTTTCTTCTGGGCTCGATCTAATTCTTTCTTTTCAACTTGGATTTCTTCCTGGGTCTTCTTCTGTTTCCCTGTGTTGGTTTCAGAACAGGCTCCAATCGGGGAATTGGAAGTTTTACAGGAACATTTGATCCTGGAAAGGTAGCAGTTAGTTTATCCTCCGCCACTGTAGCTGCTTTTGAAACGAGAACGCTGCGGGCAGTGACGTGGGGGATGGGCGTCAGAAG